GGTTTCTTTAATCAAATTAATTACATTCTCAACATTACAATTAGTTATTTCTTCAAACCAAAATCATATCATACTCTTGTTACAATTAACCGAATAGAATTACGACTTAAGTCAAGTAACACACTACTTGAGTAACCTTTTCACACCTATTCCCTGTGGGATTCGACCCCAACCTTGTTGGGTTATTATATTTGACACCGACCGCCTTACACTATTTAATAAAGTGTAATTTGAGCGTATCAGAGAGATTCTTATTTCTTCAATTGTTCAAGTGTGTACAATGTGATACCCAAACCCTCTATATATAGGATAACATTAAGGTAATAGAAAGGGATTTCATGAATATGGTATTAACGATTGGATCATGGGGGAAGATCATGGAGTTGTGGGAGTTACAACCATAATGGTGAAGAATATTGGGGAGGTTACTTACATAATAAAGAAGAGTAGTAGAAGTTATATTTGCGTAGTGAACATCCATACAAATAATATATTCCATAACATAAAGCAAATTATCTACATTTTTCTAGATTATTAATTTTCTTCCTACAAACAATCACTTATAATTTCTTCCATTATAAGGAAAATCTATAATTAAGATACAAGAAAGGTTACAAAGCGAAAAATATTAAATGGCGTCGCCCAGCTCGAACCGGAGACCTTCAGTGTGTTAGACTGACGTGATAACCAACTACACCACAACACCATTATGAAGAAGAGTCTTAATTGTTTTGTTTTTATAATATATATATATATATATATAAAAAAATGTATAGTTGAGGCAATAATTTCCATGTGGTCTCGGTTAGGATTGAGGACGAAGAAAGAGAGATGTTAGTAGTGAGAGTGAACTCACTAAAGCCATTGGAATGGGCTCCATTTCCTTCTCAAAATAGCTTCAGCTGGCCCTGGGTTCTTGTAAGAAAACGTTCAAAAGTAAGACCCTTAACAAGTAGTCAAGTGGCAGCTGGTGATCAGAGAGAGCCACAAATAATGAGCAAAGTCATTGACTCACATTTGCATGTCTGGGCATCCCCACAAGAGGTACATACCACCAGATTTTATACTTTTTTTGTTTGGCAGATTTTGTTTGAGTATGAGGAATTAATTAATTAATGTGTGTTGTTAGGCTGCAGAAAAGTACCCTTATTTTCCTGGCCAAGTGCCCAGTTTGCCTGGTCATGTCGATTACCTGCTGGAGGTACCTCACTTTTTTCAGCTATTGATGTTATAGATGCCTCTTTATGTTTTTATTCTTTTGGGTATGTTTGGTACGACTGAGATGTTTATCTTTAGATTAGTATTTTTCGTGATAAATCATGTTCTAGTGTTTGATTATTTTAAATTGTTGAAAATGTTTTCTCCAAGATTACCAAAGTGAAAGTTACTTCTACATGGTTTGGTGTGGGGAAACGTATTTCTTTTAAAAATGATTTCCTTGATATATCATTTTCTAGGTTTGGTTATCTTGAATTGTTAAAATGTATTCTTTAAGAAAAATATTTTTGGAAAGAGTGAAAAATGGCTTCAATATGCTTCCTTTTATAAATATCTACCGCCTAATGGCTATTTCATATCCAACACTTGGTAATCGGTCTCAACTTTTAATGCTCAAAAATATCATTCCTCACCTTGGATGATCATAATATATATCACTTATTTTAGTATCCAAAGAAGCATTTGAAAGTGATCCAGAAAATGACTTTTTAAAGTAAAACATTTCCGTTGAAAATGCTTCCGACATACCAAAGATGCTTCTCTTGTTGTCACTGTTGAGTGTTGATTGTCACAATGCTTTCATTGTACCAACATTTGAAATCCCTTCAAATGTTTATGTTTCGAGCAGTGTATGGAAGAAGCAGGTGTGGATGGAGCACTTATTGTTCAACCCATTAATCACAAGTTTGATCATTCTTATGTTACCAGGTCATTTCATTTCTCTCTTCACTATATTGAATTTCCAGCTTTTTCTTTTATCTATAAGAAGTAGATTTCCAGGTTTCGTTGTATGAAGTTGTTCCTTAAGTAGTATATATATATAATAGAAGATTTGTCAATTGTCTTCAGTAAGATGCTTGTTTTCAATACATTACTAATAATAGCAAATGGCTAGTCCAAACTAACATCTGTACATGTCTTTCAAGTTTCAACTATCAAGGATAGTGCACCAAATGTTACTTACCCTCTTTTTTCTCCTTCCCTTAAACTGCGAGTACAAACGTGTTATTTGTGCATTCTTCGGTATTCTAGTTGGTTAATTATCTTGTGTTGGTAGCAGTCATATTGACTTGAGAGATTGTCTGCCCTATGCATAATTACTTTTATCCAGTGTGCTGAAGAAGTTTCCATCAAAATTAGTCGGTTGTTGCCTCGCAAATCCAGCAGAAGATGGGAGTGGAATAAAGCAGCTTGAAGATCTGGTTTTAAAGGTTTGGTAACTCATATTTATAGATATTAGTGTTTTTATTATTTGGGTATTATGTTGACAAAAGATACCACTCATTCTAGGATGATTATCGTGCTGTTCGCTTTAATCCGTATCTTTGGCCCACTGGTGAAAAGGTATCAATCTTGATGCAGAATCTTTCCTTCCATAATATTGATCTCAGAGTTTATTTTGCCGTGGACCTTAGTATTGCCAATGAAGTTTATCGGAGTATGAGGCGTTAAACTCTTTAATAGATTCGTTATGTTGGAAGAACCTATGAAGTTTTCTTTTAACCATACGTTCCTTCCTTTATGGTTAACTAGATGCAAAGAAAACACATGTCCAACCAGAAATTAGAAGAAAATCAGATACATACCTGAATAGTCTTGTACTTGGTTGTGCCTTCAAATTCTAAGAGTGATGTAACGCTGAAGTGGGTGGACTTATCTTTGGTAATTGCCACTAACCATGTTGAGTCTTTTAGCAGATGACAAATGAAATTGGGAAGGCATTATTCTCAAAGGCTGGAGAGCTTGGAGTTCCAGTTGGTTTCATGTGTATGAAGGTACTTCAATTACTAGCATTCAACTCTTGGGGAAATACATAAAAACTCTAAGTAATAATGTGCCTAAACTGTTTATCCGTGGTACTATTACAAGCTCTTCAGTTGAGGAGAGCATTGTTCAACTCAGTGTTTTTCCATGAAGTTCTCATTCTGCGTCTACAATAATGAATAGTAGACTATGAGATGACACTAAGATGGATTCTTTCAGGGTCTGGATTTGCATTTGCAAGAAATTGAGGAACTGTGCACAGAATTTCCCTCAACTGTTGTTCTGCTTGATCATCTGGCTTTCTGTAAGCCCCCAAAGTAAGTCATCTCTGAAGTTCTTTTCTGAATTGTCATTCGTTGGTGAGACTAGAGAATAACGTTAGGTGATTTGTCTGAATGTCTTCTAGCAATGATGAAGAAAGACCAAGTTTCTCAGAACTGTTAAAGCTTTCAAGATTCCCACAGGTAACTTTTGCTGAAAGTCATACCGGATTTCTTTAGTCCACTTAGTTGAATATTTAACATCTGCTCTGGATCCTGCAGAAGATAACTAAATCTGTGTAAACAAAAACTAATCAATTAAGATGTTCTTTGCTCGCAACATTCTCAAGATTTTAAACCTTTATAGTTGGGCTCAAGGCACTGAAACTCTCTTTTTGACTTTAGCCTGAGACCTGCTAATCAGGAATCATCCTTTTTTAAGATACATTGCACACAGCATTTTATTCTCTAGTTCTGATCTTTTCCAAACCAAAAATAAGAGCTGGACGATAATTTGACTGTTTTTAACATTATTCTGAAGTATTATTGACAAATCTCTTCCTAGTGTTAACTGAACTCAAACAGATGGGGAAAGAGGAAAGTCCCGGACTTTGAAATTCAATTACCAAACTGTTTCCTTCTTAGCCTACTGTTATCAGCAACAGTTGGCTTAAGGTCATTAAGTTGATTGATATCTGAGATAGTATTTGCATTGTGCGTGACAGGTATACGTAAAATTCAGTGCTCTGTTCAGAGTGTCAAGAAATCGGTATCCATATGAGGACTTGTCTCAAGTTCTGGCCCAACTAGTCTCCAGTTATGGTGCACACCGTGTCATGTGGGGAAGGTAATAAATCACCATCATAATAGTTCATTGCACATCAGAACAACCTTAGAACTTCTAAATAGATTGCTAAATGTGATTCGGTGTATCTGAATACGAATCTATTTACATGCTACAGTGACTTTCCCTACGTTGTTCCCGAGTGCGGGTATAAAGAAGCAAGAGAAGCAGTTCATCTTCTTGCTAAGCAGGGACATTTACCTCCTTCTGCCACCGAGTGGATCTTGGGTAAAACAATTATGCAGCTCTTTGATGGAAAATGGAGTTCTGTAGTAACTTGTTGACTACAAACATAACTGGAAATAACAGGTTGATGAGTTCCAAACGCGTCATTGAAACCTTAGTTGTACTTTAGCAGAGCAAAGAAGACTAGCTTTGTAAGCATTACTGCTATAACCTCTTTTCTTGGAGGCACAAACAATACATCTATGGCATATAACATAACCAACTCATTAAATGCATAAGCAGTTTCAGCTTTCCCATGTTTGGTCCGCAACATTTTCTGTAGGTAAACAAGTTCCTTAAAACTCAGAAAAAGGCCTTTCATGCCGATTTGGACTGCCTCGCCCCCCC